TATTTTGTCTAAATGACTAGCCAGTTTTCCCAACACCAGGCATTGAGTGTCCCTCACCAATGTGAGATGCTACCTTTCTCACAGTCTCAATCCTCGTGTGCACTTCTATTTATTTCCCTTCCACTTCATTCACGTCTTTTTCAGTGTCCACAACCATATTGTTTTAAATAGCTTCATGATATGTTTTAATATTTGGTAGTGCTAGAACCCTTTCATGGTTCTTCTTCTCATCTTTTTTCCTCTCCTCCTCCTCCTCCTTCTCCTCTGCCTTCTTTTTCCTCTTCCTCCTTCTTTCTCCTCCTCTTTCTTCTTTCTTTTTGGAAATTTCCTGGTTATTTTTGTTTTGTAGTCTTCCAGATAAATAATTTTGAATCACTTTGTCATGTTTCATAAAATAATACTGCCAGAATTTTTATTGTGATCACAGTAGTTTTACAGATTCATTTGAGGGAAAAACCCCATCTCCCAGAATACAGAAGGGATGAGGGAAAGACACCAAGGGTAACTCCTGGGTTCTGGACTTGGAGACCAAGAGGATTTGGAGTACCCAGGAGCAGGACCGGGAATCGTGATGCCTGCCTTTAACTGAGTTGGAGGATATCTGGACTTGGGGGAACCATGAAAAGTTTGGTTCAGACCTGAGTTGAAGATGTCTATGGGCAGTCCACAGGGAGAAACACTGGAGGTAGAGGCCCTCCTTACTGCCTCCCTCATTCATTCTGAGGTCCATTCACCATATGGACACTGAAGTGGCCCAAAGCTTCCCCTGTTGGATCAGGATAGTCTCCAGGGCCCTGTGCGGTCTGGGCCTGCCCACCTCCCCACCGCCTCTCCGGCCTGCCCTCCTCTTGCTCACTGGACTCCACCCACCAGCCTCTTTCTAGTCTGGAACATCCTAGCTCTTGGCATGGCTTGCTCCTTCGCATCTTTTAATCGAAGTGCAAATGTCACTCCTTCAGATATGTCTTTCCCAAATAGCCTAGCTGAAGAGGACCACTCCCCAGCTTCCCACCAGCCCTATCATACTGGGACTCTCCCTCTTGCTTGCTTTCTCTCTGCTCCCTTTGTGTTTTTCCGTAGACCTTGATACAACTTGTTACTGTTTTATGTGTTGATGTGTTTACATCATTTGTGCCCCTGTGATAGTGAGTTTTATGTGTCAACTTGGCTAGGCTATAGCGACTGTGTATCAGTCAAACCCTGATTAATATGTAGCTGTGAAGGGCTTTTGTAGCTTGATTAACAGCTACAATCAGTTGACTTTAAGTAAGGAAGATTATCCTGGAGAATGTGGGGGAAGGGCCGGACCTCAGCCAATCACTTGAAAGGCCTTAAGAACAAAGCTGAGATTTCCCTGAGGAAGAAGAAATTCTGCTTGTGGACTGCAGCATCAGCTCCTGCTTGAGACGTTCCAGGCTGCTTTCCTGACAGCCTGTCCTACGGATTTTTGACTTGCCTGGCCAGGTTTTTCCTCTCCCTTGACCCCCTCAAACTATATACATCTCCTGCTGGTTTGTTTCTCTGGTGTAATCCTGAGGGATGAACACTCCTCCCTCCCAGTTCACTCTGGGAGAGGTTGGGGATCATGTCTGGGGATCGTGTCTGTCTATTTCCGCAGCCTGGCGTTGAACAACCACACATTAGGAAGCCAGTCATATGTGCTTCTTCAGAACCTCATGTCCATTGCCAGACCTCCCTGGCTTTTGTGACTGAAGGACAAGTGAGAGATAGTAGCTTACGCGTAGACCTTGGCCTTGAGGCCCCCAGGGGCCCGAGACTGCTGTAAGGGAGGAGGGAGCCCCTGAAGTCTCACACACCTCCCTGGGGATCTGGCACTTTCCCTTGGGGTTGGCCTCAGAGCTGAGGGAGGGGAATTATTGCGTGGGTTGTAGAGGGAGCACCTCCCCACCCAGCAATCATGTTTTTTTTTTCTGCACCTCTCACAGGAAGTACTTCAGGCCTCCACCCTCCACTCTTCAGGAGCCACAGGCAGCTGAGTGCCTTCTGCACCACAGTCCTCTCAGGGAAGACCTTGCAGTCAGAAAGAGGGGCCTGTGAGGGAACCCAGACAAGTTTGTTGTTGAAGCAGGATGAAGGTGAACTCTTCCATGGGGGACACTCAGCAGGCTCCAGGCTCTGTTATTCTTTCTTCAAGGGGCCTAGAGAGCTTCAGCTCATCACGAGACTCAGTCCAGCAGCATTTCCCTGCGAAGTGAAAGTTAGGACCTTGACTAAGTACACCACGCTGACCTCAGCCAGAATGTCAAGATGCTGAGGTGCTGAGAGGCTGGGATGCTAAGGTGCTGGGGTGCTAGGCTGCTGGGGTTTTGTGATACTGGATTACTGAGATGCTGGTATGCTGGGGTGCTAAAGTGCTAGGGTACTGGGTTGTTGGGATGCTCAAATGCTGGGGCGTTGGGATGCTGGAGTGCTGAGATATGGGGGTGCTGGGGTGCTGGAGTATTGAGATGCTAGGGTAATGGGTTGCTGAGGTGCTGAGATGCTGCTGCGTTGGGGTGCTGAGATGCTACAGTGCTGGGGTGTTGGGATGGTTGGGTATTGGGATGTTTAAGTGCTGGAGTATTCGGGTGCTGGAATACTATGGTGCTGGGGTGTTGGGGTGCTGAGATGCTAAGGTACTGGGTTGCTAAGGTGCTGAGATGCTGCAGTGTGGGGAGCTAAGATGCTGCAGTGCTGGGGTGCTGGAACGCTATGGTGCTGGGGTGCTGGAGTGTTGAGATGCTGTAGTGCTGGGATGCTTAAGTGCTGGGGTGCTGGGTGTTGGGATGCTGAGGTGCTGAGATGCTGCAGTGCTAGGGTGCTGAGATGCTGGACTGCTGGGATTCTGGGGCACTGGGCTGCTGGGGTGTTGGGGTGCTGGGATGCTAGAGTGCTGAGAAGCTGGGACATGGGGTGCTGGAATACTATGTTGCTGGGGTGCTGGGGTATTGAGATGCTAGGGTACTGGGATGCTGAGGTGCTGAGATGCTGGGGTGTTGGGCTGCTGGGTCACAGGCTGTTGAACCCATTTGTTTGCCTAGGGGAAGAAATCAGAAGACAGAGAGAGAATGAAGGAGTCTTCATTGAGTGGGAGGAAGTAATGGAAGGAGCAACATCTTGGAGAGGAGCAGGAGAGAATGGACCTCCAGTTGGGAGAGAGGGCCAGGCTGCAGGCCGGAAGGGAAGAAGGATTCCAGCAGAGTGTGGGCTTCAGACATCAAGGTGAAACAGGTTTCTGAAAGAGTCCAGTACTGCTGAAGGGGCAAGCCCGCTGAGGACCAGGAAGTGTTTGGCTTTATGACCAAGAGAAATTTGGAACTGTGACTAGAGTACTTAGGGGGAAAGAGGCAAGACTGGAGCCGGATTGCTCTGGGTTGAGGGCTGAGTGGGCGGGGAAGCCGGGTACTGCCACTCCTTTGAAGGGTGGCAGAGAGCTGAAGTTGGTGCTGGATGGGCTGTGGGATAAGGGGATCATGTGGAAAGCCACCGGGGGGCACCTGGCAGAAGAGAGGCTGACAGTATGGTGGCAGGACACACACTGCCAGGAGGAATGAGGGTAGGGTCAGGACTGCCGGGGCAGTGAGGCCAGCCTGGGGTCAGATGGCAGGATGCGTCCGGGAAGCTGGTCTGCACTGCAGCCCACACTGGCTCCGCCTTGAGGTTCCCTGTGTGGTTGGGGTAGGAAGTTGAAAGCTTTGGGAATGGAAGATGGAACCAGCTCTGCGGGACAAGCTCAGCTTTTATCTGTGGGACTCTGAGGGCTGGCAGAGCTGAGCAGGGACAACTGTGATCCATGAGGCTCTCAGACAGGCTGAGGTGGCCCCTCTGGGAGCGCTTCATTTTCCCAGCGGGTAGGTTCTAAGCAGCAGTTGCTGGGCAGGTGGGTCCAACACAGAGCCAGAGGACGGTGAATGGGCCTCCTGGCACCCCACCCCTGCTGCCCATGAGCTCAGTGACAGAGGGAGACAGCACAGCTGAGCCCAAGTGCCTTGGTGTGGCCCTGAGGGAAAGCTGCAGCCGGCCTGCGGCCTGACGTGGATGGGACACTTGAGGCAGAGGAACAATAATGGGAGCTCCAGTGAGGCTGGCTTCGGCAGAGGCTTCCTGAGATGGGCAGGGAGAACAGAGACAAAGTCGGTGACAGGGAATGAAGGCTCCTTCGAAGGAAGGCCATTACCCAGACCTATGAGGATAGCTCTCTCAGTAGGAGGCAGGAGAGGCCTGGGTGAGCACTGCCCAAGAGCTGGAGTGTTGGGGTGATGATTCTTTCTACAACCCCTCTGTCCCACCTCTGGCTCCTAGACTGGAGAGGTCTGCTTCCACCCCCATCGGACAATCATTGTCCCTTGTCACAGCCACTGGGAGTGTTGGCAGGAGGATGTTCTTAAGAGCATTTTTTAGGCTCTGTGGGACATAACGGGCCTGCTCGGAACACATGCCTTTCTCAGCTCCTGAAAGCCACTGATCAAATTGGAACATTTTGTACCTTAGGGATGAGCATATCAACTCTCCCAGCCAGTTTAGAGGGATGAATGTGATTGATGGTGCATTCCACTGTGACTACATCTGATCCCAACTATTGCATCCCAATAGCTACCTCCCCACTTTTGGGGTGGTGTGCTCCATCCATGAAACCTGGGTACCTGCCTACCAGGTACCGGCCTATGAGGTGTCAGGGTCTGGTCAAAGAAGGGCATGTGTGGTCTTCAGCAAGGGAGACAGGGCGGTGGCACAGAGAGTCTAGACCCTCAGGGCAAGTCTCCCCGCCCCTGCTCCCAGTGCAGTTGTCTTTGTGGCCTCCCATCCCCCTCTGTTTCATCCTCTGTAAAATGAGGGGCTAAGCCCCAAATAACAGGCTTCTATGCCGTGATGCAAAACTACTGGATCTTTCTGACACACAAGGCATCGAGCAGCCTCTGAAAGAACCGAAGCCACTAGCAGTCTTCCTGACTTGGGTTTGTAGGTACTCAATAGTCTCTTGAAAAATAAAAACATAGAGGCATTTTTCTCCTGGCTGTTTATTACAGAATGAAGAAAAAACACACTGGCTCGAAACAGATGCCAGATTTCAAATGTAGAGTGAAATACGAGGTGGCAATTAAAATGTGATTACGCAGTCTGGACACTGAGAAAAGTTTATAGGACAGTGGGTGTGGGTTTTCTATAACAGACACTTAAATATACATGACTATAATTGCAGATAGAAACCATCAAAGACAAACCCCAAATCAACTATTAATGTTTACAGATGTTCCCCCCCAAACCACAGAGCCTTACATCAAAACAAATACTGAAAGGCTTTGAACCAGGAACAGCTCACCTTCACCCCGCGAGGGTGCACACAAGCTGGGCTTTTTCTTTCGGTCTGAATGGTCAAGGGAGGAGGATACTCTAGCTCCTCAAGGTAGATTGCTAAGACAGTGCTTGGCTCACATGCTCTCTCTGCGCCTGTCCTAGATCTGGAGAACTCTCTCAGCCTCCTGGTAAAGTATCTCTGTGGGGCACTTAACGATAAAACGGCTTCTGCTGTAAATGCTCATTAGGAAAGAGCTAGCGGAGACTGAAAGGTTTGCAAAAGAGATTAAGAATCACACAAGGCAATAGGGTTTTCAGTGAACACAGAAATAAATGGCCAAGTGGTTTTCTATTTGGCATTTGTCAACTTGCACAACAACTCTTGGTCACATCCACACTGCTCATTGCATCAAAACCATAAGCAACTCAGCCACCTAGCTTAACAAGGTATCACTGGAGCAAACAACACAGTCTGCATATTTGTAACAATGTATAATAAACACAAAACGATGCATAGTAAACACAACTCTACTGAAACAAAAGCCGCCGCTTTATTTACAAAGTCACAAATGAAGTATAAATACTTCTGTCATTAATGTTTAGGAAAACCATTTACAAAATTTTCAAATATGTACACATAGCTTGAAAAATCACCAGCTTTCCATTTCGTCACAGGTAGAGAGGGATGGGCATGGGCTGATGACACCACTCAAACTGTAACGGGGGACAACTGCAGGTATGGATCGACACCACTCTAGGGAGATGTCAACATGGGGATGTCGACGCGAAGTGCCCCAGAATCTTGGGTGACTCATCAAGCATTCTGGGCTGTGGCATCTGGGCAGCAGCATGCTGTTCCAAAATGTCATCAATCAGCCTCAAATTGCATACCCAGTCTTCATCTGTGCTCACACTGGAGCCTTTCAAGAGAGCATCAATGAAATCTACCTCATTGCAGTCACGTGGCAAAATCAGAGCATTTAGTGGGGGTTGGGGCTGGGGCAAAAAGTCAGCAGATGGCAGCTCAGGGGGAGTACCCGTTCTGTTGAATGGACCTGGGAACTGGCTGGCGGCAACGGCAGAAGCAGCAGCAGCGGTGGCAGCAGCAGCCACACGGCTTGGTGGCTCGATGCCCTGTATGGGGCTCAGGGGACTAAAGCTGGCCATACCCTGCTGGAGGAACTTGGTGGTGTTTGCTACAGGCACTGGGCCCCGCACGGGGCTCTGCCTGAGGCTCTGGCTGCCCCGCAGGCTGAAGCGGAGGTTGTTGGCCAGAGCAGCACTCACCTTCTGGCCAGGCCTGCCTTCAGAGGTCATCTGATTGGGAGGCACTACTGCCTGCTGCGCTGGGAACGCTGGGGCTACCAGGGGCACTCTCACAGGCGCCTTGGCAAAGATGGAGTTGCTGTCAAAATGCTGCTGAACGCTATTATCCACTCGGCTCAGGGGTGGTTTTCCCGAAACTGCTGTGGTCACAGCTGCTGCCGCTGTGACCCATACACAATTGTTGAACACAGTGGGCATTCTTGGCACACGAGGCTGTCTGAGCTGGTGGGGACTCAAGGACTGGGTGCCCAGGGGGCTGAGACAGAACCCAGGCAGGGGCACTTCTGGTGGGGTGGCCTTGGGACTCTGTGTACGCAGGCAGACAGAGCCAAGACTGCCTAGGGGAGTCTGGCCCGAGTGTGAGGGCATGGGCAACTGGGGGCTGGAGGCAGAAATTCCTTGCTGCTTCCCTGGATTTGGTGAGATCACTCCCATGCCCTCGCAGCTCTGGTGCCTGGTAAGTGGGATCATTTCTGGACTCAGATTGTTCTGAAGGAGCCCAGTTCTGGGTGGCATCATGTGCTGGCTAGATGGGGGGCTTGCCTTGGTCCGGCTACACTTGGAGGTGACTTGTTCTTGGACGGCTACATACAAAAAGAGAGAAGTGGGGATCAGTTCCAAAGGCATCCTCAGCTTGGGCTGTGGCCACTGGAGGGGAGCTCCTGGCCCAGCACTGACTTCTCCCCTCCCGCCCTTGCCTCTCTACTGAGCCCCTGCTCCCCAATTCCTCACAACTCCCCTCATTTCTCTGCCCTCAGCCTGGACTACAGTTCTTCTGGGAAGCCGCTCAACTCCCTAGGTCTGTGCTCACCAAGAGCAGATGACACTGGACTGAAATGCCAGCTGATTTGTCTCTTCAAGAAAAGCGGAAGCTCCCGGAGGCCCCGGCCCATGTCTGCTTTTACACTCAGTGCTCTGTATCCAGGGCCTGGCACTGCCCAGCCTTTGACAGATGGTACATATTTTGCAGAAGGAAGGAAGGGGCCAGGTGGGGTGGGCTGGTGGTGGGAGCTAGCTCAGCCTCTTAGCTTCTCTACCTGATAGATGCGACATGGGACAGCAAGTGAGTGTGGTAAGAGTGAGTACAGATGGTGCTTTGTTCCCCTCTGTTCTCCCCATAGCCTAGGTGGCCTCTGAGCCCAGGTCTGTGGCTGGGATTACATTTGTTCAACTGAGCTGTAAAGGGGTTCCTTTCTGAAGACTGAAATCTAGGAGTTGACATTCTGGACTCCCTGAATTCCGAAGAGCCTGGGGATGGAGAGACACCAAGCAGAAGATGGAAGGTCGAGTCCCAGGTGCCTAAGGTGGGGAATGCATCTCCCCTCATTGTCATGAGAGTCTACTCTAGCTGATATCTACTGTGACCAATATCTACAGGCATTTTTTTGGAGTGGAGACTGAGGCATGTAGCAATCACGTCGTTTACCTAAGGTCAGGCAGGGGAGATAGTGCAGTCGGGGCACAAGCCCCGTGTGTCTGACCCACAGAAGAGTCCGTGCTCGTATCTACACCAACGATTCTCTTGTAACTTCCTGAAACTTGTCTGTGCTGTCCCTGCAACTGGAGTATGCCCGATGTGGCACTCCAGCCCGGACAAGTGGGACACAGACACCACTGGTATCAGGCCCAAAGAGATCTTCCATGAGACTGTAGAGGCGTCACGGGCCACGATAAAGATGCTGACCACCTGTCTGGGGCAAGCAGCCTCTCCTGACCCTCAGACAAACTCGGAGTGTTTCCCAAGACTACCCTTGGTTTAGTCCCATCTCATCCCACTGGTGCATAATGGTTGCTGAATTCCTGACTCCCTGGGTAGCCTGCAAGCGCCGTGAAGGACGAACTATGTCAGGCTTTTTGCTAACTGCTGTATCCCAGGCCAATAAATGTTGATCACATTTATAGCTACCATAGTAGGGTGTGGACCCCTGCTATCTACCTGGGAGCCCCTGACACAAATTTTCTGAAGGAGAGCCTCCCCAACCCCTTTTCCATTCCCTATACGTGACAGGTGGCCCAGGAACCCATTAGAAATAGAAGTTGACTGCAGCAGCATGTGAATGTGTGTGTGGGAAGAAGGGCAGGACCAGAACTCCGGGGGTGTGGCAGTCCTCAAGTGATTCTAATCCAGATCCTAGGGGGAGTGTCCCTGTCCCATTGAAATAGCTGCTTTAAGGGACCTGACTCAGGGGAATAAGTCTCTTGAATTAAATGGTGATTTTGGAGTCATTTAGACCAGGCCTTGAATTGGGATCCTGCTCTTAGAGCTGGATGAACTCTCTCAATGCTTTCAGAAACAGAGACATTAAGTGCTTACTCGGAAATGAATTCTCACCCCACTTCCACATATGTGCCCTTTGCCCACCCCTTTGGGAACACTGGCCTTAACTGCTTACCTTGAAATTGACTCATCTGTTGTGAGATATATGCATTCTGCCGTTCAGGGGTCATTGCCATAAGACCTGATCTCTGTTTCTCTTGCTAAACAGAAGATGAAAAAGACAAATTAGATTACAGCTACCAATAAATAATGAGCCTTAGGATCGCTGCATGGGGACCTAGGACTTGGCTTTGGTGTAGCAGAAAGCATGAGTGAACACACCAACACCCACTTGCATGCATGCCCCACCCTCTTGAGCAAAATTCCACAGGTATAAATAAAGTAAGATTCTGCACCTGGGTTAAAAACACCAATTGCAACAGCATAGAATGGGGCAGGAGAGACAGAGCTTAATAGCAAGAACACACAGAAAGAAAATTTAGGCATTTTGAATATCCATCTGCTCAGGATGGGTCAGCAGTGAGATGCGGTCACCAAAAGAACAAATGTAACATTAGGCTGCATTAATAAAAGCAGAGTATGTAGAAGGAGGGAGGTGACAGTCCTATGCTAACTCTGCCTTGGTCAGACCATACCCACAGGAGTCTGGGCATGCCAGTCTCAGGGAGACCCAGACAGACTGGCTGCATTCGCATGACGGTGAGCAATGAGAGTGGGGGCTGGACTTCAAACTACCCAGACAAAGAACGGCTGAGCAAGCCAAGGATGCTATGTCTGGGACAGAGCATACTGTGGGCTACGTAGTGGTGGATGCCCAGCCTTTGCAGGACTGTCATAGGGAAGAGGACAGAGGCTTGCTCCCGGTGGTCCTGGCATGAGCGGCTGTATTATCACATGGTCAGGAGGACACAGTCTCCAACACTGGGAGTAGCCAAACACTTACTGCCAGACGTCCGCCCTTCTCCTGACTAGCTGCAGCATGGGCAGTTGGGAGGAGCTTCCTGTCTCCATCTGAAAGCTGGCTGGGTGGGCAGGGGGAGGAGGGAGCCAAGCTTCAAGGCTGCCATTTCAGCCCTCAGTCCGGGATTGGCTCAAGGAGCAAAGGGGAAGAACAGCCAGGAAGGAATCAGGCCCCCAGGCTCAGAGAAGGCCTGACTTGCTCTGAGACCCTCGGCCAATTGGTGTCAGGTTGTAACTTGGACCTAAGTCTGACTCCCAGCCCGGTGCTTGAAGCCTCATCCCACATAGTGAGGGAAGCCCAGCCATCTCTACTCAACTGCTGCCATCTCTGTCCCCTTCTCAACCACCAAGGCAGCTCTGTCTGGGAACACATGCTCCAAGTCCACTTTCTGGTCTGTGTCCCCCCATATGCCAGAGGACTTGACTCTACAACACGGGCTGCCCCTGCAGTGCCTGCTTTTCCAGCAAAGGGCTTCTGGGTACCCTTCTCTGCGCTCAGTGGGGTGGCGGGAGTGGGGTGGGGTAGAGACCCAGTGCTTGGGACTGTGCCCGGCTCTCAGTCCTGGCAGCAGTTCCTGGCCTTGGTTCCTGCCAAGGCAAAGAGGACAAACACATGGCACCGGGAAGACTGCACCAGAAGCAATTCCACCAGACTGGGCTTTGCTTTTCCATCCCGCCCTGCCTGCTTCCTGCCCTGGTCCCTGCCTCCGCTGGAGCTGCCATGTGGGCTGTGAGGAGCTGTTTCTCTGCTGTCTTATGGAGCTGCCCTCTCCCTGCTGAAGCATTGGCAAGGTGGCAGGGGGTGGGGGTGGGGTAGCGTGGCATCTGCTTTTTCCAGCTCTCATTATACTGAGTGTATCTCACCCATTATTTTATGTCATCTAGCAACACCCCATGTGGACACTGAGGAGCACGGTGGTCACATGACCACTGGCCAAGGCCACATCGTCGGATCTGCCTTGTGATGGCCAGGGTTGGTGACCGTTTTTGAAGGCAGTCCTTTCGCTTTGGCTCTTCTCCTTGCACCAGCCCCAGGACATCAGGGCAGAAGATCTACAGTCCCCAGCTTGTGGCTGTGACAGCAGATGCTTAGACAGGTTAAATGACTTGCCCAAGGTAACACGGCTAAGATGTGCACTGTCTCCTAACTGCAGGCCAGGTGCTTCTGCTGCTTCTGGGGACAGATTCCTGCCTGGCTGGCTAGGTCTAAATAGTCCCTAACTCCATCCCCACTGGTTGTTGCGTAAGTTCCATCAAATAACACAATTGAACAGAGGTAGGGGTTGGGGGGCAGGGGCAGATAGAGGCTAGAGAGTGTGATCAAGGAAACAGCAGGGGAAGTGCGGTAAAGTCCAAACGGAGGGACTCAAAGAGAAAGCCAAGCCCGGGGGCATGCCAGACCACTGGGGTGGGGCAGGCTTCAGCAGGTGCTGGGGCATCTTCATTCCAGGAAGCACACATTCCAGAGGACCCCGGAGTCTAATGGAGAAGCTGGCCAGCGTGTCACTACAGAAACTGCCACGGCCGCACAAGGCTGCTGACTCCCAGCCCAGGTACCGGTGGCCTGCTCTGCAGGACCTTCAAGTCTGAGGTGCCACCAGCAAGCGAAGGCCCTCCACGGGCTCTTCACCTTACGATGGTATCCTGGGGCACTGCCAGGCCTCTGCTCCTACCCTGGTTCTGTTGTCCCAGGCAGAAGGAGCCAGAGCGTTCTCTCCAGGCCTCCCGAGGAGGCTGCTTCCTTTGTTTGGCAGATGGAGGCTCCCATCCTTTGTTCTGAATCAATGTGCTCCAAAGATAAGCCCCAAGAAAACAGTTGTTGCCTTTGACACTGACAATTAGAATCGTTGGAAAATGGAGCAAACAGGAAATGACAAATGGTTTCAGTGACTAGGAGGAAACTGGCCTGAAAGTTGCTGCTTAGTGACTGGGCCACTCACTTTCTGCTCTCGTATGAAGGACGGCCGGGGCCGTGTGGCTTTTTACAAACAAAGTTATGAAGGGGGCCATCACATTTTCTAGGGCTGCAATTGTTGTGGCACTAGGTCCTATTGTGCTACGTGACACTGACAAGCAGCACTGAGTTCTGTGCCAGCCCAGGTGTGCTTTTCTCATGGCTCTTCCTCTGAAACACCCCCTCCCAGACCCCACCCCTAGACAAGGGACCACGTTCAAAGACAGTCTCAGCCAAGATGGCAACCTCAGAAGTCCTGGGTCTGCCTTTCTGGAAGCTTCAGGCTGACACCAGGAAGCTGTAAAGCCCACACCTGTCTCTGGGAGTTGTGTGCTGGGCAGGAGACAGGGGAAAAAGCCCAAAGCCCACTGCTGCCCACTGGCACAACTGAGCCCATGCCGGGTGCTGCACCAGCTTCTCTCACCAGCCACCACATGCTAATATCCCCCGCTTACCCGGGTGCAATCACCTGGGTGCTACTTTCTCACTGCTACACGGGAAGAATGATCTCATCATCAATCTGACCACTTAAGTGGGCAAAAGGGGAAAGGCAGAGGGCAAGTGATCAGGGGCACTGAGACATGCTCACAAAACGTTCCTGAATTTCAGCCGAATTCGGGCTGAAGTTCCTTGCCCCAGGATCCTGAGCATTCTGGACAAGAATTCAAATGACATAGCTTCTAGGGGATGGCAGTGAATGGATCCAAAGCCTTGCTTTATAAAGGATGTGGAGGAAGGGAGAAAGGGAGGGAGGGAGGGGAAGAGGGAGAGAGAAGAAAGAAGAAAGAAGAGGAAGAGGAGGAGAAGAAAAGGGAGGGGAGGGGAGAGGAGGAGAGAGAAGGAGAGGGAGGACAGAAGAGGGGTGGGAGGGGAGAGATTATCTACCCTCCATGCTGGGAAACTCCTGCCTGCTTTCCCATGAGTGCCCCCACATAGAGCCAGCCCACCATACAGCAGAAGGTGCTCAGCTATCTGAGCACTAGTGTGGGTTTGTTAATTACTCCACAAAGAAAAGCACCTTCTTTCGTACTTTTTGGAAGCCAGAATTAGAAACAACTCATTCACCCTTCTGACTTCCTTTGGAATGACAGGAAAATAGTATACTGCAAGGGACCACCATACATTCAAGATCTGAGCTCTGGGGAACCCCACCCCCATATGGGTGGAACCCTCTGAGACCGTGGGCACTGACTGCCCATGGCCCATTGATAGTGACAATGTAGACACTGCTGCCTGAAGCCTAGTTGGAGGATGAATGGATGCTCTTAGGAAAAAATTCCCTTCAGTCATCCTTCAGAAACTACAGGGGCTTCCTAAAATCAATGACAGGCAAGTTTTGATTGTTTCCTAAGTTCCTCCTAACTCTCAGAGCCTGTGACTCAGTTTCTCAGAATGCCTGCAGAGAGGCAGGACCATCGGGAGTAATGAGCACGAACTGGGCCGCTTCTCCCAGTGGGCTGATAACGCCAAGATCTGGGCTGGAACCCACTGACCACCCACCCTTTTGCATTGCCTTCCTCAATGCCTTTCCCTGCCCAGAATGCAACCAGAGGGATACAGGCCGCAGTAACTCTGGGGCCCCTGAACCTACCTTCCCGAGACTCTGACAGGAAGGTATTGCTCACATGACAGTCCAGCAAATCCCTCTGTCACTCAGTTGACAAACATTGATCATGGGTCAGGCTCTATGCCAGGCATGGGGATAACACCATGTGTCTCTACTCTTACGGACACAAGTAAGCCAATCAAAGCAGATCATGTTCTAATGACCACCCAGTAGGGTGAAGGGGTGGAGGGTGGGCAGGTGCTGGCAGAAACCTCAGGTCAAGACATGGGACCCCAGCAGGGAACTGGAACCTGCCATGCCATTTTCTATGTTAGGGGTCTTTCCTTGTCTTTCTGGAGACCTCACCCATGGTAATAGTGCTGCCCTTAGATCTGAACTGGTCTGAAGCTGTCACTGGGGGCTAGGGGCTTCACAGAATAAATGCCATTGAAAGCAAATGGCAGAGATCAGCATAAGAAATGCTTTTTACCCTGTTTTCTGTTCTTCCACATGGCCTATGACTGCTGCAAACTCTATTCTGACTTCTCCTCAGTCTTGGCGGGTCTGGGAAGAACTCGGTTTAGATGCAGGGAATGATCCTGGGCAAAGGAAAGAAATGTCCTTCCAGCTTGTCTTTCTTCTTCCCCCTGTGGCGCCTGCATCCTCTGCCCTGCACTGACTCACAGGCTGGCTGATAAGGTGGCTGTGCTGAGGGAGCATTAGTGAATGCCAGGCCTGAC